TTCCGAAATTTTCTTCGTGCAAAAACAGTTCTAAACTTTAAGAGACAAAAAGAAACCCGCTTATATCTTATGCCACGCACCGTGCTCGGCAACTCGCATATTTTCCCAAGAGTTCCACGCCGAGCCCGCCATCATTAATCTGAACCATTGTTTTAACTACACTTTACGGATTTGTTTACCTTTTACTAAACAGTGACTGGGATTTTGCTTTGGTTTGCAAAATATAAAAATTGCAACTCATCGAAAATCTTTTTATTACTAGGTATTTCAACCACTACTTATTAAAAAATGTACTTTAATTTTTTTAAAGTGGTAACTTGGTTGTACTGGTACTTTTCCTGTCTTAATGAAAATTACTTATTTATATATGTAATAAATAATTATGGTAATATTAGTAAATTTATCAGAGTTATAGTACATAGTTTGTTTAGTTTGGTTTAGAATTAACAGTGAAGGTTTTAGTAATTTTCAGAGCAACGCCATCTAGCGTCGAGAAGCTAATAACAGATTCTTATTTCATAGCCAAGTAGGATAATAGGTGCGATGGTGAAATCCGTCTGTAATTAATTTGAAATAGCATGTTATTCTCGTGAAACTTGTCAGGACTCCAGAAAGAAGTCGTATAAACTTTGAAATCGCTTCGGGGTATTGAAATGAAGAATTGTGCAATTCTCCCCGAAAAGTTCCCGCCATAAAACTGGCAACTTCCATTAAAATCTGATTAATAGTTTTCGCGCCATCTTTGCATAGACTATAGCGGCCGTAATTGATGATACATCAGCTTTATAGGTCGTATTCTTTCAACGATAAAGTATGTTTTTGATTGATTTGTTTTTGTTTGACCCAGATGAATGATGAGTTTCAAGAGGGAAGTTTGGTATACAAAAGTATATTAGTTTGATTGAAAAGTAAGCTTGTTGTTTAAAATCTGTTATATGATCGTCATTGATAATTGATACGTGGGATAATTGACATTAATACGATTTGACTTTTAATTACACCAATCGATTATCAAACCAAGATATCAATCTTGGTGACTGATGTGACGAAATACTATTTTAACAATACGAATATCAATTCTACAATAAGGCTAATACCTAACTTCTTACAAATAACAAATAATTATTTACAATTGATATTTTTTTCTTCGAAAACTACATTTGTAACATGAATTATAAAAGAGGCAACCATCGTTAATTATCTACGATTAATTGACATATTCTCAAAATGAACAAGTAATTTTTAAAGTATAGTATAATTTTGAACTATACAATAACAAATTTTATCGTAAATTTATTAAAGAAACGATCGCATAACTATATGTCACTGACGTTTTAATCTGTTTATAAGGTATAATATAAAGAAAATCCATTAAAATGCAGGACACAAGCGAAAAAGGCACGTTCTATACTTGAATAGTGGCTTAATGCCAATTTTTCTGATTTCCATATCACCGACCGATTTAAGTTGATACGTACAAACACGCCGTCTTCTCCTTACAGTGGTCTCTCATAAAATGGTCGCTTAAAGGTCATTGACTGTATGAAAACTATTGAAACTTACAGATCTGTCTGCGAATTTGTTTCTAATGACTTTTTTTTGTTGTACCCTGATATATTACGATCTATTTAAAATTTGTCCCGATTTACATGAAAGTAGAACGATGAGGGGCGAAAGGAAATTCTCTTTGTATTCCTGGGTTCTGTGCATGTTACGAAGAGAAAACGGAACGCGCCATCGACGCGCGACTGGCTGCATCTAACTTGCGTGCGTATGGTGTTCGTATCACACGCTATGAGCATAGGCCCTTATAGGATCACCGAGTAGTCTTATCAGTCGGATAGACTACCTCTACAGATTTGTTATTCCTTTAATAAGACAGGGTCGAGCATCGAACACAGCGCGGCTATAGAATTAGAGGTTCAATCAAATAAAACCTTTATTACCTATGAAGTTGGTTTTATTTAGATTTGGCAGCATTGTGTTCGAGGCTGCTTCTACGCTGTACTTTTAGAAGACTAGTACTTATGAACTCTGCTCTACCAATTGAGAGGAATCTTGGTAGCACTCTGTATAAGTGCGACTCTACCATAATAACTGAAGCTCTGATTGAGCTGTCAAATAGATCTGCAGCTCATCTGTCAGCAGATAGATCAGCATTGGTAGAGCCACAGGTCTGAGTTGCAATTTAATACACATACTTAAGTCGATGAGCCAAATGCAGTCTAACATTAATATTTGAATTTTAATCATAGAGCTCAAACATCATTGTGGGGTAACTGATATATAATGCGAAAGTGGAAGGATGCAGAAGCCGAGGAAGGTCACGACACACAATCAAATAAATCGCGTGCTCTTAGAAGGTGATGTCGGATGCCATATTAACCGGCGAATACTTGTATAAAAAGAGTAATGAAAGTGTATGGGGCGAAAGATGTATGTAAGGACCGTACATTGTGGCGATCGGTCCTCTCTGCCCACCCCGCCAGGGATACGGCGTGTATATATATACATATATAGAATATGAAAATCTGACCAAGTGTAAGTCGGACACGCGCACGAGGTGTTCCGTTCTATTATCCATAAAAACGCAAGAAATCACGTTTGTTGTGTGGTAGGAGTCCTCTTAAATATTTAACTTACTCTGTTTTTTAGTATTTATTGTTAAAGGGGTAACTGAAATATATAATCTGTGAAACTCTGTATGTGAAATTATGTAATTTCGACTGTATAACTATCACGATTGATGTGATATAAACCTGGTGACCTGTACCAAATGTGGAAAGAGACAGACGGATGGACAACGGAGTCTCAGTAATAAGGGCTGGTTTTATACTTTTTACGGAAACCTAAAAAGCAACACTAGGTTGATATATCGAACCGTGTGATATATCGAATCAAATGATAAGGCTTATTGTTAGATTCTCAAATATGTAGTATACTTATGTATCGTTACATAGTCTTCTTTTTATTTTAAAAAAGATAGAATACTGTATTTGTAGTAGGCTATACTTATAAATATTTGTACTGAACCATCAGTGTTTCATTCTGACTCATTCTTGGCCTTCTTTTTTTTTTATTTTGCTGATGATAATTACACTTGTTGTTTTGGCGAGCTTAATTTCCTGTCTAGTTTGTAAGTTGAGCTTTTGTTTGATCATATACATAATGATGTGGTTGAATAATTGACATCTGAAGGTTTGCAACTTCATTGTAATAAATTAAACAAAGTTTCTTATAACATAACGCGGGCGTCTACTCTGTACTTTCGAGAATGACAATGAAATATTGCATACTACAGAGTTTCGTTTTAGTGTCTAATGGAAGTTGATAGTAACAAAAGGTAGTATTGAAATATTTCTGTGTCGACGATGGAAGACAAAATTGTTATTTTTTGATAGAGTAACTTTATACGGATTCTGTTTTTTTTTTTTTAAAGTGTCGGTTTCAAAGAAAATAACTACAACGGAAACCCCATACGTTGCCGTCGTCTACACTTGGTATGTGATGTAGGACGAAAAACTTTTTTGATACTTAATTAATTTTGCCTTTGTTGAATGAATTTTAATATACTAAAAATAATTATATTAAAGATAAGAAGAAAGAGATAGAGTTTACGAATTAATAATAATAAAAAACGTTTGTGACAAGCGCACATTATACAATAGAAAGAATTGAAAAGATTCGTCACGAAATGGTTCTAGCATGTGCTGCTCTGGCGATCAGCGCTGATCTTCTGTTGGAACCTGTTTAGTGAAGTCATCAACAGCATTTTTTTTTATATCGTAACTATATAGTTTGATTCAATCGCCATAAATATCTCTATGAAAACAACAACCGATCTTTGAGTACAGATTTATAATAATAATAATTCATTTATTTACCCAAAAACCCAAAATTTTACATACCGGTGTTTATATTAAGTATTCCTTTTAATTGCTGAGAAAATACTGATACAAATAATGATTTACATGACATAGTGTGATTGACTACATGCACTAAGTCGAATAATTTAAAAAATAAAAATAGAAGTATCAAAATCAAGCAGAAGGGTGTTTCGTTGTACTCTGAAAACTGATTTTCGATATCATTAACTTTATGTGCTCAGTCTTACTCTATGATTTTAAAAATGCGAAACGGTCACTGTATATTGAATCCCGATTCCAATAGTACAAGACCAGGCAATGGTAAATCTTTTTAATACCAGTTTGAACAATTGAAACAGCTTCGTTCACAGTTTTGGAACCGCACAAACTACTGTTTACATAAACTTTTCGCTATTCAGCGGAATCACGCAAAATTGTGAGCAGATTTAAATTTCAAAACGTCGAGTTGCATTCGGATTTAGTTGGTAGGAGACATTCTGATCACGTTTACGGTGAAATATAAATTTTATTGTAGCCTTTATGTAAAATGACAGTGACTTATTGTTAACGCGTATTATTATTGACTGATTGGAGATTTCTCTATTTTGACTAGTCGATAAGGCCCGCATGTTACTTATACTATAGTTACTGTACATGGAAGTCGATGACTTCTTTTTGACAATATACCTACAGTTTGTTCCCTACTATTAAATTCTTTGTCCTAATCTGGTTCCATTGTTTGGGGTCGGGACTCCTCACTAATTTGCGCCAGGTTACAAAAATCTCGCGTTACAGTTTTAGTTATCGTACTCCTCTGACACGGCTTGGCCGATTTTGATGAAATTTCATATTTAAATTCAGTCGGTCTGAGAATAAGTTTTTATCTCTTTTGGTCCAAATGGCAAAACAACATATGCCGGGTTAACTAGTATTAGTATAAAGGCTCAAAGTCGCTTGAAAGCTGCTTAAGGCAAATTTTTTTTACTCACCTTATATGTAAGGTGAGTAAAAAAAATTTGGTCTTTACCAAGCTTCACTATATATGTGTAACACACACACACACTTTGCCTTTTAAAATATTAGCATGGATGAGTAGTGTGTATGGGCATATAAGGAACAAGTATATAAGGTACTGTCGCCTAATAACGCCCACTGTTTTTGACCGCTAAATCGGTAAAAAACCATCTGGTCTAAATTCAAACTTTATTATAACATCCTTAAAAATAAATCAGTATGTGACTGTTATTAAAATATATGCTAGTTAGTGCTTTAGCACTCCATAGGTTAAAAACAGTGGGCGTTATTGGGCGACAGTACCTTATAATTTGTTTTGTTTTCAGACCTCCTCAGCATCATGGCGCGTCACTCCTGGCGGGGGTCGGGGGCGCGGTGCCGTCGTACGCGCCCCCGGGCCGAGCATTCTTCACGCCCCCACTACCGCCGGAGTATAGAAACCCTTTCGCTGATAAGCCGACACTCAGAGGTGAGATCAATCATCATTCATCATAATATAATATAAAGGCACCATAATATTTGCGAAGAAATTCTGCTGGTGTCTCTAAAAATAGTTACTAATGCCTTCCATAGATGGTGTTGACAGTCTAAAGATGATGAAGCACATAATTTAATGTGTTACCAAGAGATAAAAAACGTGTTTCTTATAATCATATCAAATTTTTATTTCTATAGACATTCGTATCTGTAGTCAAAAGAAATAATTATAATAATCTTAATTGCACTACTTAGAGAGGACACAGTCCAAAAAGTATTGAAAACAGTACACAAATAATCATCGTTATCGTATCTTCGGAAGCATGGATGAGCTCTATATAATAAAATTTTGGTCACCAATCCTGTGTCTGGCTCTTAGGAAAATTGCTTAATGTCAACATCGCAGATCGACCCCAAATACAGCGCAATCAAGCTCAACAATAAACTTATTCAGCAATACAACTTTTGCAGGTATTTTCCTGCAAAAGTTTGGTCGCCCAAATGTCGAAATTCGACCATAAAGTATAAACTTCATTACTTTATGATTGTCTAACAGTCGCGGAATTAAATCTTAAAAATAAATAAACCATTTTCTCCACAGGCACTAATACAGATGGGAACAACTATCTCAATCGGCGACCCATCCCGCCGCCGTCACTCGGGCCGGGCCACGAAAGAATACCTATCAGACCGCCTGGACAGGTAATTAAGCTTATACCTAGTAAATTAGATACACTATATAAATTATAAAAAGCTGTCACAGCTGTTTGGACATTTTTAGTTTGTGACGGCAAATTTTTCGTTTATTAAAAAATGTATGTGATTTAACACCAGTTTTGTGTGTATCAATATAATTAGAAATTCGTTTTTATTTATATTATATTTTATGTTCATCTTTATCATCATTTCTTCGTAATAAAATGGAGCACTTAACAGAAAAAAAATATTGGACTCCATTTACCCTTTTCAAGTTGAAACCGTCAAATCTCGTACCAATTATATTGGGTACATTCATTTTTTCTCTCGCTTCCTTCGAACCCTTTAAGAGACGTAATTCCCCGTAATTTCAGGAGACGTCGTCACCTCAAGTGCCCGCCCCGCCTCCCGCGCCGCCCTTACCCCCTGCGGGCATCGAACCACAGAAGAAAAAGGCACTCAACACACCAAGCCATAAGGTCGGTATTCGTACGCCGCATATCAACAGACAGATTTTCTGAAAGTTGTAAATTATTCAAATTGCAATCCCGAGGCTATTTGATTGTGTACCACAATTGAAAAATCAGTCCGCGCGCTTTATATAGAGACCCTAAAGTTAATCTCGTTTGCCTGTAAGAAATCGAAAAAGTTTTTCGCCTAATGTTTTTAGGTTGTAATAGAGCGTTCCGTCTGATTAGAAAGATTTATTAAAGTTATACCTTTCTAAATAAAGTCGACAAATTGGTATTTCTTTAAAAACTATTATTAATATAGGCTGCAGTGGATTTAAAGTCTACGACACTCTAAGCAAGCCTGATCGATTCTTATCCTTATTAGATTATAATTTACTTCTTGAGATTAATTATCAAAAAAATGTGACCCTTTATATGTAAATATTTTACAGTATTGTTAATGCAAAATTGGCCAATTAATAATTAAAACAATTTTTCATCTTTATTGAAAGTTTAAATATTTGTAAAAATAGTTTTTTCGACTGTGACGACGGTGACTTGTCTGATCATTGATGAAAATACGCTCTGTAGTAGCGAAAAAGAGCTTGAAAAATTCATCAATCCTGTCTGATCTTGGGTAGTTCTGTGGTTAGAGCAGTCGGTGGATTTTGAATGCGAAATTGATTATATATAATAATAATTACGATAGTTTGTTAACACCAGCAGTCATTTTCATTGTCATTTGAGTCATTCATTTGATTTTCTTGAGATTTCATTCAGATTCCTTTTCATTCGTTCATTTTTCATTTCATTCATTCAATCAAAATGCACTCAATTATAACACTTTATTGTATTACACCACACAAACATAACTGAATACATGGTTCTTAATAATCTAATGTGACAATAAGTATTTTTACATCGGATGTCACTGTGTCTAACGGTGCATTATTGGAAGTTCCAATGTCAGCGGTAGGCCTGCAAATATTTGTGCCAGAATAGACACAGATAAGAATTAAATATAAATTTACACATTTCGTAAGTATCACTAATTCAGTATCCAATTAACTCTTATCATTATCTTTTCCAGCCTGATGAGCTAGACAGTGATATCAAGCACACGGAGCAAGCAAACTTCACCGACTTCGTGCCGAATTCTCTGAATATCCCGACCATATCCAGAATCCTGAGCGGATCCAACGGGCGCAAGGAAGACATCCCCGACGTCCTCCTCAGAACTGTTACGGCGAAACCCCAGCACGGCCAAGATAAAACGTCAAAAAGTGACACATATATCACTAAAGACGCTGGCGTCACACTCAGTGACTCCAACCGGGATGTTTCGACAGAAGGTTCTGTTTTAGCAGTTTTAGACCCAGAAATGAATAATCTGGACAGACCTCTTATTATAGATCAAAACGGTGAGACCAACACCAGGCGGAATCTACAGTACGCGACCAAACAAGAGAATGAGAGGAAAAATGACAGCTACACTCCAGCTACAACCATCGGATTCGAGCTTAGAGATCCTGAGATGTCTACGGAGCGATATCACAATTTAGCCAACGTCAATTCCGACAAGAAAATCCTCAAGCACGACCAAAAGAACAACGGTCCCGTCCAAAGACCGGGGGTGACTTGGCCGTTCGCATGGTATCTACACGTTTACTCCGCAATGATCATGTTCACAATCCTGGCGGTGTACTCTATCTTCAAAATCATATTCTACAATAGGATAACCCATCTGTTCACGCAGTATTACTTCATAATATTACATTTGATCCTTGTCTTCGTGTGTCTGATGAGAATATTTTACATGTGTTATGACCCTTACAATGTTAACAATTCGTTGCCAATATTCCTGAGCGAAATACTGCTTCATGTGCCAGAAATCGTCTTGAGCATTGCATTCGCTTGCACGATACTGTTCCTGTTAACGAACAGTATAAACTTCAAGAACACGTGTTGTTCTTCACTGTTCCGTCCTCGGACGATTATAATCGGCGGCGGTATTCATATACTGTCGTGTTTAATATTGCATATCTTCGAGAATAGTAATACGATATATAGAACACCCCAAGGGGTAGAAAAAAGGGTACTAGGTTTAACTTGTCAAATTATATTTATCGTAGCGTGTCTCATATTAGGGCTGTGCTATCTTTATGTGTATAAGAAATTAAAGTCTGTCCTGCAGAAAAAGAGTAATACGTACCAAGTCGGTTTCCAAAACCTATACCAAGCTATACATATTAACTTGGCGACGGCTTTGCTGTTCGTTCTGATGGCGGTACTCCAAATATACGGCATATTTGGTGTGAATCACATGAATATGACGAAATTCGATTGGCTCCAATGGGGTTATCAGTTCTCGTTGAGATTAATCGAGATAAGCATTGTCGCTCTCATTTCATGGGTGACGAGTCTGAAGTTGGTCACTTCTCTGCAGCACGAAAAAGCGGACGGTAATAAAATATCCGGCTTAGGTTTATTCCCTTGCACTAACGGCTCGAGCAACGACCAATTTGAGTCTGACTATCCTGCTATTTGCGGTACAAATACCAACCTTCATACGTACACGTTAAGAACGGGCAAGCCAATCTACGAAACAGCCGGACATCCTAATTTACCTGACCCTTGTTGCGTGCCAGTAGACCATCCCAGGTTCTTGAACACACTAGCCGGAACTTGCGACAACAATTCCGGCACGGAAAACTACTCCGGTCACAGTTCCATCGCTAACGCTGGCCACAGCACTTCCACGGAATCCAGCAACGCCACATCCAGCCAAGGGGTGACAAACCATTTAATAAAACATCACCCGAGCATGGCCGGTTATAACGGAATAGAATCGGCTTCAGACGATCACTATTCCAACTGCGATCCAGCCATACAGTCGTTACATGGCGACGATCCTTTGGATCATGAGTACAACGTTATACAGTACGGCAGCAACAGCGATTTCATACGCGACATAAAGAACCAGAACTACAACGGCGGATCCAATCGAAGTTCTCACAACTTCAAACACATGTCATACGACAGAGTATCGTCTAGAACGAACAGCAATCCTAGGAAGAAGCACCGAGCTAAGAATAAGAACGTGCAGAACTGTATGACAATGGGCTACGACTCTATGGGACACCACTACCATCAGCCTCATATGCCTGATGAATACGGCAATTTCAACGCTGAAAATGCGTCTTACCACGCGTCTGGTATTCAAACTTTGAATCCTAATAGAGGTTACGGGGATCAGATAAGGGGTTCGCAGCGTCGTAACTCCCCTTCCACGTCCATGGTCAATTCTAGCGGAAGTCAAAAGAGAGGGAAGAATAACCCGTTCCCCGATAGACCGAAGTCTACCGACCTTTACGGGTTCTCAGAGGATCCTAAAGAGAGGAATTACCCTTGCGCTGTAGCTCCACAACCGGCGCCTAGAAACTGTAGTTATGAAGCTTCATACTCGCAGCCTCAAGACGAAATCCACCCTAATGACAGCGAAGGGAACAGTATGTTGGTAGCTCAAGATGGTTTCGTCAGATTTCGCCCTCTAGAAGATGGCGCATCGCAAACTTGATTCACCATCACGCTGTCGCGCGCGACAGAGGACCTTGACTTCTGATCTTTAAGGCCGAAATCGCTTTGACGATTTCCGAAGCATTCTATACGTAATTACTCGTATGCTTATTGACGATAACCGTCTCAAATGTATATTTTTAACTGTATAGTTATCATAAGGCAGCGATATTTAAGCTATTGTTAATGTAAATAGCCATTTTTAATTTTTAAGTACCCCCTTGTATATTTAAACTATCGTCCTATGTCAGAATATGTCGATAAGTAACTTTAGTTAATAAATGGTATATTATTATCATAACGAAAAATATTCAGTTTATTAAATGTTGAATAATAAATAGACATTTGACACTATATTGTTAATATAATCTGGTATGTGGAGAATTCGTGTTTCTATATTTATTATCTAGCTGTCGAGTAAAGGGTTAATTGAAAGTAAAGAGTTAATTATTTAAAACTGAATCGTTCAGTTTTAAATAATTAATTGGTCAGCTTTATTCACACATTTTTTTTAGATATCAAAAAAGTATTAGCAATTTTTCACAGACCAATTTGTTTTTCATTACTTTTATATACTTAATATAAAAAACTATATTATACATAAATTTAAATTTGCGAGTCATTATTTAGCCCTTTATTATCACTAGCTAGTATTGATAAAATAAAAACGACCATAAGTATTAGATAATATTACAACTAAAATGTAATTCTATTACGTCACGTCATGACAATTTCAAACATAACATTTAAAAAATGGCGGTGCGGTGCAGATTATATGAAAATTATCATAAGTGCCTACCGTCGTAAATATTGAGTATAGTTTCAGTGTACAATCAAGATGACCAAGCAATAAAAAGAGAAGTGAAATATGGAATGTCTACAATTTTAAAAACGACGACTAGTTGGTGTATTTAAAGAAACTTGACATACTCAACAGCCATATTCATATTGGACCTCTAATTTGAATAAATCGATTGTTCTAATAATTTTTGACACAATTTGAACATCTTGATTGCGCATTTGACGGTAAGTGTACAAATTATATGTACCACAAATAAAAATAAACCATATCCATTTTATTTATAGTTAATAATGTTTTAAACTATGTGATAATAAGCATTAATGATTTTGTTTGAAACAAATCTGTCCATAATTAAGATTAATAATTTAATTCACAGGCCATTATGCTAATTATGTAATGATAATTATTAATATTTTTTTTTAAATTTCAATGTTATTGTGCCACAATTATTTAATTTATAGATGTTAGTGTTTCAGTTTGATTTCTCTTTTTTATGGTAACACCAAACAATAAAAAGAATATGGCATAGGAAAATAATATCAATGTTTTATGTAAGCTGAGGAAAGTTTTGACGAAATATAAGTAATATTAATCTAATATCATAAAAAATATATAATTATGCAAAATAATTGTGATTAATTTTACATAACTGGTGTCCTTTATGTTACCACATTAGATATTTCTAACGTAAGTAACTTGGTTCAAATGAAAATATAAAAAAAAACTGACGTCTATTTTGTGCCAATGGAGTCGATATCATCCTGCCATACATTGAAAACATTTTTTTATAAACAGATAACCTAATTATTAGAATATATAAAGTTAATGTTTAACATATATGTTTATTATATATGAAATATCGCAAAATAAATGTTGGCACTGCTCTAGATAGGTAATGAAAATAATTGTAAAAATTAGATGATATTAAAAAACTATTGTATATGAGCGTCAAGAATATTCGTATCAACAATGGTATTGTGTTGGTTTGAATAAGTTTTAGATTTGCTTGGATATCAATAATTCCTATGTAAATAACATCCATAATAAAATTTTACTTGAAATACCAACTAAATTATCTTTTAGTTGTGTAAATAAATAGGTTACTGAAGTGTAGCCGAATTGTCAAGAATTCTGATTTCGTTGTAAATTATATACATATATATATTTTTTTCATTTTGAAAATATTTCTAAGACTGTACTTTATCATTTAACTGGAATGATAAGTAACATTTACTATGTAAAATAAATAAAAATCAATTAAAAAAGTGTTGCGTTTTATTTATTGAATAGAAACAAAAAATTAGCCAGTCTTCAATTATTTTATTAAATGTCATAATTTATTTTATTTGTACAAAAATATACAATATATTATATTTATTAAAATAACTAAAATAGAAATTTTTACAAACTACAACCAAGTATAATATACTCGAAAAGATTTTGTTATATTCGAAATCAAGTATATGCTACAAAACTACTTTATACACTTAAAAAATCGTATAATTCATTGAAGCCTACAAAATTCACAATTTTAAATATCTTAAAACATGTTTATTGTAACCGGTACAATAGTCTATTTTATTTACATAGTCAACCTTTCAAAATAAAAGTACTTCGAAATTAATACTTACCTTAAAAAAGATATAATTATCTAAAACAAAATCTAAATATCGACAAATAATAATTTGGATCCATTTTTGGGTTATAACGCCTGTAAGGTATTTTTATCAGTAAATACCTTGCAATAGATACAATTTAAAATAACCGTTAACTATATAAGAAAATTAACTGTTTTAATATATAAACAAAAAGTTGATATTTATTTATAATTATCTATCTCTGGAAGGAGGTTGGAGTAAAGTTATTTGATGTAGTATAATAAGTAACAATTAAGATCAGAATAGCTTGTGTTAATTTTTAATTTTGAGAAAGCCTAAAAAGATGCCTCTGAATACGATATAAAAGCAATACACAAACTTAAGAAAAATAAATCAGGTCACAAAAATATGCGACGTAAAGTTTTGGATAGATTTATAGAGCTTAAAATAATTTAAAAAAAAACTAACTAACTAACTAATTAAGGCATATTTTGCCATATGATGGTGAGTTAACTTCAGTCTTATTATAATCATTAACAAAGTAAATTTGACATTTCTATAAGAAACCCTCAATGCTATGTAATAATAAAATATCAAATACCTAGCCTCTTCTTAGCGGAGAACTGTTCGCCGAGCATCTTCATGACTTCAGCGTGCTTTCTACCATTCTTTAATGTACCATAATTCTCTTTCACGTATAATGCAAATTCGTTGGTCTCTCCTTTGCGCGCGGGTGTCGAAACAACGGCACCATCTTTAGTTTTCTTATTGAGTGTAAGTTCGAAGGTACCACGGCAATAACCGCAGCATTTCTTTGTGATGTCAATCGATTTGGAATGGCGTTGAATGCTAACACAATAAAATACTATATTAAACCAAAGCTTTCATAAAAATATAAACATTAGAAAACAATAAAATATGTTACTAAAAAGTATTCAGTTTCATTTCTGCTGGTTTTCAAAAGATGGCGCTAGTATTCTAACGCCATCTTGTAAGTGTGTATAGTAACATAGTCTTCGTCTTTCCGTTAACAATGTTAGCGTGACGGAATAGATGGCGCTGATTAAAATAATATGTAAATACCTGTATCCACACTTTGTGCACTTGTAACAGTACTTGAAATGTATCTGCATGTTGTGGCATCTTGATATTTCGCCCAACTCTGGATATTTTCGTAACGCGCACGTAGCCCTGTCGATAATAATGATAATATGTCAGATTTTATAATGAAAGGGTACAGTTAAAAATCTATCTTCTACCAAAAATATCTTTATCTATCTTGAACTCCGTGCTTCGGAAGACACGTTAAGATGTTGGTTTCTTTTGAATCTACAGTCGTTAATGCCCACCATTCCGCACTGGGCCTGGTGGTGAGTCATAGCTCATTGATATATATTTAAATTAACAAGGGAGCAAAGTAATCTTTTCTCACCATTTCTTCCATAAAGGTCCATGTCCCGCTCTGAGCTCTCCGTCAATAATCCAAGTAGCGGAATGACACAACTCGTGTATCAACGTGTCACGAAGTCTCTGAGGGCCGTCTACCACCTTTTAACAAATGGATAAAATCATACACCCAGCACTATTACACTTGGTTTCTAATATGTTCATGTGCGCTCTCTTATTAAATAAAACTATTCGTACTACGGTTTTATTTACTAATAATACTCACAATAAAAGTGTTTAAAAAATTTCTTATTAAATTGTGTACATTTTATTTTGTATATTATAGTTCATTTTAAAAGTAGTATTTAAGTTTATACAGTGCCCGGCATAAAAATAAACCCAATATGGCGTCAGCCGATAAGAATAAAAAAGTTTTACTTAAACGAGGGACATCCTCTTCCCAATTATCAATTATCAATGTTTACATAAAATCACAAACTACAATATTCCTAAAAGTTGTAGTGTTCATTAAAGTACATCAGTAATAAATATATATTCATGTTGATGTTATTTAATGAAATAATACGTTTTTGTGTGATTTAGAAATCCAAAGCCAAATGAGAGAAAGTGGATTTTTTAAGCATTTTTCATTTAGAATTTAAAATTATATGATTTTAGATTTTAATTGTAATTAAGATACAGAAGTAATCTGGATAATATCCAAATGTTGATAAATAACGGAGTACCTTTATATAACATACTTCTTGTTATAAACCTTGCACAATATGGGCCTGGTGACCTGTTAGTACAGATAGATACCTATGGTATCTTTGACAGGCCCCAGTCTCTCACATTAGGTTTAAATTAAATAATGTATAATTAAAATAATAATTTAATAATGTACTATTGTGAAGAGAAAAATAAATAGATATTTTCAAAATTTCCTGCAAAAACGATAAATATATAATAAGCATATAAATGTGATTATCGGTAATAGCATATTAAATATTACTAGAAACATCCGTTTTGTGCCGTTTTGTTCTCTTGATTGGCTAATTAGAGCCAGAGTATGCTGGTGTACCCAATCAAGAGTACGAACGGCACAATTGCAATGTCGATCGATCGCTATTGCGTTTGGGAGTAGGCATTCAGTAGCATACACTTTACCACAATATATTATATATATTAGGTTATATTAGATTACCACAATATGTCAAAGAATCATGTCCAATTTTGACCTAATATACTAACGCGTCTAGCGTTAAAATATAGCTTGTATCTTTGTATCATTCTCAACATATATTTAAGTCTTAAAATAATGCCAGGATAAAGATTGCAAGGCATATAATTATTTTTTAAAACTATGTTCATGTTTTATGAAAAATATCTTAATGTGATTCTGACTCTACAATAATAAACGGTTTAACACGTTTCGTTTCATCTTCTACTAAAAAATATTTATATTTCTTAATTTTCGGTTATAAAGTGCACAAAAAAAATTTTTTGTACAATTATTTAGAATTTTGACTGCTACTATAACCTCAAAATCCATTTACGCAGTACAAATACGCGTCCAGATGAAAATATACTTAGTTATTATTATACTTTAAGCAAAAACGAATTAAAATTTTCATTAATGGTGGGTAGACACAACCTTTTAAAAACATGTGACAAATCAATCAATGTATGGAAAGTGGATATGATTCTTTCCACAATGAATTTTGACCTCTAACCTCAATACATTAAGGTTTAAAAGCGAATGAAGAAATTTGACAATTCCATATATACGTAGTTATTAATATTTTTAAGATTTACCTTTGTAGACAGTTTAATGCTGGACGTCCTCCTGCGATCACCTTTAGAATTTTTCAATAATCTATTTGTCGTTGTACTGAAAAACAAAGAACAATAGAGTTCTTAATCATAATCTTTTGCAGATATAAATAATTCGGAAACTAGCTCGGTCAGACAAAGTAGCTAGGTGGTGTAGAAAATAAACGCCGCGGCCCGCGATTTTGTTATTACGCAACTTTAGTAAGGTTCGGTCATGAGATGGGTGACCAAAAAATATAGTCTCGAGCTACTCCGTGCTTCGAAAGGAACGTTAAGCCGTTGCTTCTGGTTGCATAAGTAAGGCTTGAGCCCCCTGCAGTGGGGAAGTAAAAGGGCTGATGAAAATGATATTTCAGAAACTAATAATGAATGAATGAATGATAATTTTATTTGCACCAATCACAATAAGACATGCTATATACACAATGAAGTAATTAAATTATAAAAACAAAAATAACTATAACCAAGGGGATTAGGTATTTTTTTAACTAAATTCAATTTTTCATTAAGAATATTTTCCAATATAGCTTTTTGCATGCAAAATTGATCAAATTAATTATTTATTTATTTATTATTATTTTATTTAAGTTGACTTACATACAGGGCCGAATTAACCTTGCTAAAGGCCCCAGGCCAATACAATTCTAGGGCCCCCTGTACTTACTATAAATTAACAAAGAGGGAGAAAGGAATTTCAACAAGTTAACCTTATGTGTGACATAATTTAAAGTTTGAATAATTTCGAATGCAATAAAGTAAATAATCAATTTTTCTTTGTATCCTTACAATTTTTTCTCTTGATGGGTATAATTATAAAAAAAAATATTTGGACTCCCTTAGCAGTTGCCTACTCTGTCTTAAGGATAATCCGCAAATGCAAACACATTAGATCTTGACGTCTCAATAGCTATTTGTAAGCAAACAAAAAACCGGCCAAGTTTGAGATAGGTTCGCGCACGAAGGAATCCATACTAATATTTATAAAAAAATTATAAATACTGTTTATTGAATGGGAACTTCTTAATATTTATTTTATTCGTTGTGATATTGGCAACACAAATAAATCATATGTAAATATATTATCTATCTAGATATTAAGGTTCATAAGAGTCTAGTGATAGACAGACAGTGGAGTCTTAGTAAAAGGGTCTTCACCATTTGGGTGGGAAACCCTAAAACAATAATCTCCACTTTGTGATGGTCCCTCAGCTATTACAAAGTTAGTTAGGTTATACTGTTTATGCTTACCCAGCGGTACTTCTCAATTTAGTGTCCCATATAACAGGCATGTCTTCTTCCAGTGCATTGTCAAATACTTCTTTATTAAATTCTATGTACAATCTGCGCGTGAGTTGCTCACGCATCGTCTTATAATTGTCACGGTACTGAAACGCTTCAGGATGACACCGCCAAGTGGGTACCTCATCTATGGACAAACACCTATATTATTATTCTATATTAAAAACACAATTAAGCAAAAGTGATTGAGCTGAATTAATAATATATTACAATATGGACAGCCATTTTCTGCCACCTTTTACCCCATACAAACTATTTAAAGTTACACCTTTAAAAGTAAATTACTAAGCCAATTGAGCATGACAAGTGAGGCTTATGAATGGATGTAAATTGCTAATGCACCTGGCCGCCATTTTGGTGACGTAATTATGTTCAACAATCAGTACTGTTAGCACATAAACACTGGTTGACTAGTACATTTATGTCAACTAGAGTTGGGTTGTGTTGAGATCACAAACAATTTTTATTGTTTTTGTATTTTTTTTTTTTCATTTATTATTGTTAAGTTTTGTTGTTACTTGTTATGGTTCACTAAAATAGAAACTGCTATTATTATTTCCACTACTTGATTACTTTTAGCGTTGTTTTAAAAAATCGTCCTTCCCTTTTGCTATTAAATTATTACAGAATAATTGTTCTTTTTTCATATTTTTTTGTTTACCGTAACGTCAATGTTACATATATATATATAAGACTTTTTGCAAATTCTTGCAATAAATGAAAAATCCTTTTTTCAAATGACGTCACGCGGGTATTATTTAGAAAAGTTTTTAGAGCAATTGCAATTTACAACTTACTACACTGTGGATTGATTTGGATGAAACTAGGCAAATTAGCTCCAATTACGACAATAAGAATAAAAAAATATCTATCAGATTTCTTACCAGCTAAAGAACCTACAAATGTTAACCTCTTTAATAATTCATCTTTAGATATAACCGACATATGTTCAACTTTTTTTGTTAAGCCATTAACTTCTTTATTCATTATATCTACAAGTTCTGTTACAGATGCTGCTTTGATTTTCTTAGTTGTACTGTTAATATTTCTCTTTGGTACTGTTTTTGACCTTGGTATATCAGGTGTACTAGGTACTTTTTCAGTATACAATTTCTTCTTAGATTTTCTTTCTGTATCACAGAGATTGCTTAAATTCTTCTTAACATCAGAACTTGTTAAGTAAAGTTCTTTGTTACGTTTCAAATCATGTCTAATATTTTCTTTGTCGCTTTCGTCTTCATCAAAATGTAGTTTCTTAGAGATACCGTTAAAATTGTCATAATGTTTGGATAATGTTTTAAAAAGTTTCGGAATAGATTTCCACTGTTCACCATACAGATCGTTGAGTAGTTTTTTCTGGGAATGTTGTATCTTCTTTATAGAGCATTCTTCTAGAGATTCATTGGCTACTTCTTTTGGTATAGATGGTAAGTTTTTGTATCGGGGTGTCGCACATGTGATACTTTGGGCAGGGGACCAACCCCCTATACTCGGTTTTGATTCCTTTATATTCATCGGTGATTTTTCTTCAATGGATTTGTTTATTGAAACCTGTCAAACAAAAATGTTCTTATTGAATAGTGTGAGATAAAAGGTGCGTTTTGGATATTTTTGATTCAAAAACTATCTTACTAGTTTGTGATGGAATTGTTATAAAAACATAATTTTGTATGTATTTTTAGAATCTCTAAGGAATAAAAGAACTAACTAAATAACAAAAACTTGAAAATATAAATACTGACATTTCCTCTTTTGCTAGGCTCATGCTCTATTAATTGGACTTCAGGAAGTGAATCATACGAATCACAGGAATCATTTATTACTATCGGAGAATATATCTTTGGTGTTGATTGTATCTGGAAATAATAAATAGTTATGATTAGAGAATGAGTAGCCATTGCATAGAATTATAATATTTCATGTTAGTTTGGTGTTGATTGTATCTGGAAATAATAAAAAGTTATAATTACACAATGAGTAGCCATGACTTAGAATTATCATGTTTGTAATATTTGTGGTAAGTTATTGATTCTTTTTAAAATATTAAAATATACTGTATAGAGAACAACGCTTGAGGTTACAATTTTCGGCTTTTAAACCTTATTCTTATTATAATATGTATTATTTTGGTAATGACATGGTTGATGTAAATGTCTTCACTTTTGATAAAGAGCCTGTAAATTTTAGCTTGTTTTTCTCATCAGCCAGAAGACATTCTGAACAAGTGGTAGGGAAAAATTTTGGACAATTCAAAAGTACTTGTAATTGATTGATTAATTAATTACTTGGCTTCCTTGATTAAAAAAACATTAATTTCATGTCTTATGGAATAGTACTAAATAAATATGAAAATCAATAGAAATACATGAAAACAATTTAGTATTGTGTGTGTGGTCATGTATCTGTATAAACATTAATTAAAATGATTTATGTCATTAATAAACTCTGACACTACTAACTTATTTTTATCTAACTTAAAAGATATGATAGTTTTTAACTCAATTATTTACCTTTGATGAGCCATAGTAACATATAACTTAGTAAGCTAGTAATTTATAAATTGACTATTCACTTACACTTCTAGGGAAGTCGGACTTTAGCCTTTCAAATGATTCTTCAAGCACTATCACATCTGAACTCCTGTTCAATTTTGTGTCATCGTCCATTTTAATTTTATTTTTCTTCAAAGATAGCTTCAGGAACCCTAAGGAATTAGAAACATTTGAAAAAACAGTAAACATAGAACAAAACGTTACATATATTATAAATTTATTTAAACGTTTCTATTTTATTTAATTGTATATGTAACTCTTGAAATTAATCACCACGTTAACCACATCAGAGTAATAAAGTTGAAATTGAAGTTTATTTTATAAACAGCTATACATACGATTTTTTTGCGTATTGTGTTTTTTATTATTGTCCATATTGGAGAATATGTTCTGATTTAAATAGTATACCAATTTATACTATAATAATTTCCTAACTAATTTAAAAATCACTTCAAAAGGCGGCCAACCGTTACGACTGATAAATCTGTCCACAGACTAGTAAGAAGATACTACGTATCAGACGGGAAACTTCTAAGAACCAATTATGGCACGGTATTTTAGAGTTTGACACATTTTTACTTTTTAATATTTCCTTAGACCTCTATCAATGGTTATGATTGTCTAGCGCGGGATATTTAAAAACTCAATACCGCGAAATTCAAATTTTCCCAATTGGCAGAATAAACATTCGCCCGTACAAACAAAATTTCTATTAATTTTTTTTTTGTACCTAGTTATGATATTAATCATTATGTAATCCAAGTGTAATCTATTTAAATATAAGTCTATTATATTAGCAATAAATAATACTGTTTCAGGATTTTTTTTAAATTTCATATGAAATTAAATGAAATGAAAATGTCTTTATCAAAAAAAAAATGGAAAAAAGTCCAAAAAAATTTTTTTTACCCTACTTCTTGTACAGGACTTCTTTTAGATGACAAGAAAAATAAAGCGAAAGAAACTTACCAGCCTTTATCATAAGTATTACATTTATTATATCATCCCATTACCAAAATAGTACGTATTATATATAACAATAATAAATATAGTTTTCATAGTCAAGGAAGGAATTAATTTGAGACAAGGAATAAAAAATCGTAAATTATTTTCCAAAGAAACTTTATTTCCAATTCATACATAATAATAAATTTAATTCCGTAAACTTTAAAAACATTATGTAATTGCAGCAAACTGCTGTAAATTATTGTTTTATTTATGCAACATTTTATTTTTAAGTTTTTTTGTATATTTTTCTAAAGCTTTCCTTTGCATATCAGGTAATTGTTTTTCGTTTAAGCGTAACAAATCGACCCCTCTTAATATTTTATTAATAACAGAACACCAATTAAACAAACACAATTTAATTGTTACATCAAGAAAATAATCACAGATAGCTCCATAGTGCTTTTCACATGTTAGGAAATTGAAATTATGTCTACCAATTCTTTTTTCTATTTCTCTGGAAATGAAATTGACATTTGGTTGTAATTCCAAATATTCATTGGCTTGATTAACGATTACGCTAAACAAATTAACAGCCTGCTCTGAGGGATAGGTAAGTTTCATTTTCTTTTTAAAATCTTTAAATTCCCTATGCGATATCCATGTGTGAACAGAAGACTCATTATTTTGGGTGAGATTATTTTTGCACTCTGAGCAATTAAATTTGTTGAGGCATTTCCGCACTACCCATCCCGCAGTGTAGGCACGAGAGTGAACATTTAGTCTTTCCCTACGAGCTTCTGTGATGAGATTTTCTTTTTCTCCAGGAGACATTATTGTGGCAGTTTGACAGGAAGACGTTATCATTTCTAAATTGTCTTCCTGGTTATGGTGAAATAAATTTTTTAACTTTATTATTTGGTCTCCTGAAGAATCTTCACAATTGTAAGTGTCAGAATGAAAATGGATAAACCTTGTAATTAAGAGGGATCGAAATATATTTTTAAATAACTTACAATTTGGGTCGTTATTTCTAAAGCTGTATGCCCGTACCTGGCCAAAAAAGTTTTCCAGTGGGTCAGTATTGAAATATCGGGGACGCATTAATTTGCATCCCCTACTTTGAAAGAAGTGCCATAACCTTATCAAACTTTTTAAAGTTGTAATAAAATTTTTTTGGGATGGCACCACGCATTCCCTGGCATTATTGTCAATGAATTTTAAATCTTCCAGCTTTTTAATAGCATCTTTCCAAAATGAAATATGTTTCGAGTTCTTAGATGCAGCTTGCCTTAGAGGTTTGCCTTTATTTTTTATCGTGATTGACGATCCATTACAGGAATCAAAAAGGTCATCAAAGAATGACACCATTTCGGCAGTGTTTAGTAAAGTTTCACTGACTGGCTTTCCATCCACATAGTGTGCTGTAAAAAAAGAAAACTGTAAAATAGTGTTACCTTGCCAATGAAATTTCAATTAAACCACAAGAATTTACTTACAAAAGTTTGCTGTGTATCTTAAAGCACTTGCTACGGTTTTACTGAGCACACGAGTACAATTCTTTACCTAAAAAGTAAAGATTTTTATAATCATTATTTAATCTTTAAATTATATGATATTTCTACTCTATTAATTTACTTACTTTCATTTTCTTTATTTTTTGGGGTATGACATGTTCGTCATTTAATTTATGCAGCATACGCATTTCTGCATGTTTGCAATCTGTATTGTAAACATCAACTATGTCATCCCACTTCGATATTTTCCCATTATATTTAATATTTTTATTTAAAAAATTATTTCTTATCCCTTTGATAAGATGGGGTGGATCATATAAAATACTAATTTTTTGGTTTTCTATTATAATAGTATCATCTGAAATAAAATCATACAGCTATTAAAAAAAACTACATAGTACTGACTATTGTAATAAATATCATCTTGGTCTAACCAAGAAAAGAAACATTTTAACTATTAATATAGATGCTTATGTACTTATGTTTTAAACAGTTTTTGTTTTGTATCAATAGGCTCAGAGAGCAATTTAAAATAATGCTACCTAGGTGATGCGTAATCATATCAAGGTTACTTATGCTATAATTTACGCAGGTGAGTTCTTGGAAAACAGTTAGTTTAAGATAATTACAAAAGAAAAATTTAAAATCATACCATAAGTTTCATCCATCTGAATTTGATGTCTCTTTGTTTCTTCTTTTAACTTCTTTATAGCAGACTGAAATGAAGTTCCTTGATCACATATAAGTGCCACAGGTAACAATCCTGTTTTTGTTACCTCTGTTACAACAGTTTTTATTATATTTTTTAAAACAGTGCCAGAAGTAGCTCCCTCACAAAAATAAAAACATACTGGTTGTTGCCATTTGTGTAAGGCTCCACGAACCATAAAAACTAACGCATGATCAGCATAATTATTTGCCTTTTCATTTAGCTCAACAAATCCACATATACTGTCACTGTGCTTGTCATAAGCTAATCCCGGTTCAAGAGCAACTTCATCAAAGAGGACAGAGCAGTATTTCTTTGTTTCAGGCCACTTTGCAATCTAGAAATGTTATACATTTTGAAATCACAAAATTAAAATGATGGGTAACGAAAAATGGATAAGCTATAAATGACTAAATAAAAAACATAACAACCTAACCTAAAAAATGTAAAAGCTTAAACCACATACCTCTGATTTTATGGTCTGAAATATTCGAGGATTGATTCCTGAATCCATTTTAAGTGTGGTGATCATTTTATTGATGATCCTCACTGAAGGAAGAATAAAAATTCTTCTCAAAAACCTATAACTTTTTGGACTTTGCTTCATTATAGCAAGTGCAATCATCTTTTCCTCATCTGTAAAACGCCGACCTTTTGTTTTTTTTGTACTTTGATTAATTTGCATCCATAATATCTTTTTTGCTACTGGATTCAGTTTTGAAGTCAGTTTTTCAAAGTTTTCTTTTTTTGAGAATTTAATAGCTTTTTTAGCTCTTTTAGCAAAATTGAGTTGTTTTTTGGCTTTTTTATACTCCATTAATATTTGATGACATCTAGGTGTTACAAAATTTTTGGTGGAATAAGACCTCTTAAACTTTTGTCTCTTCATTGGCGTCATCAGAACATTTGATCCTACAACAAAATAAAAACCACAAATTTAATGGCAATATGTAATATCAAAATCTAATTAAACTAATAATTAACAACCCCTATTATGTGACTAAAAATAACCTTACCAGATTTGGTTATAGTTTCCACTGCACACTGAGTAGATGTTGAAGGCTTATTGCATTCTGAAAATATAATTAACAAAAATAAACAAAAAAGAAGTCCAGCACATCTAAAAACCATTTTTTTATAAAATTATATGCTAATAAAATTGCAAGAATAATCCAAAAGATACAAAAACCAAAATTACCTATCAAATGGGGGAGCAGTACTTCTTCTTCAATATTCGAAATGGATGCAGTGGGTGCAGTATCACAATCTGTAATCAAACAATCATGTTGCCATTAATGAAAAAAGTTGACTGCATGTCTGCTCTTAATACTTTGGGAGATTTGGTGCTGTGTTTGTGGAACTGCTGCTGGTTAGTCAAAAACGAACCCTACAAATTCAACATCACAACGAGAGTATGGTAGCAAAAAACATATAGTTGGAACTGTTATATCAGGACTATATATTGAAAGTTGTTATATTTTATGTAACTAATTTAATGCCCTATGTATTTTAACAAAGTTTTAAAATATATTTTTTTTATAAATTGAATGCTTTGAAATCTTCTTCAAGTTTTCAAAGCATACAATTTATTTTTGTAAATATTTATAAGTGAAATTGGCTCATTCAAAACATATAACAGAAACCAGAATTTTCACTTGTAAGAAACATCCTAATTGTTAAATGATCAACAATATTTGATTTAATTGTTGTTTCATCAAAATATCAAATATTTAAAAAAATATATACATCATAGACCATTCACGCAGACATATTATTATTATATAAAATGCAATTATACTTCCATTTGTATGATATAATTAAATCCATCCCATAAAATGGCATATTTGTAATACTTACCAGTATTTCTCATAAATTGGAACTGTTGTATCTCTAACAAAGGTCGACCTCTGGAGTAAGAATGATCAATATGTGGCTTCCTCAATTTCTGTGCATAATCATGATCACATAGCAGTATGTTTTCTAGAACAGATTTTGGGTATTTTAGTAAAATAAATCGCTAAGTATATTATGATATGATATAACCAATTTATTCGTAATTTTTGTAATGAAAATAGGTAATTATATAGTTTACCATTGTTTTCATAAGCAGTTGAAGGTATGCCAGTATCCATCTCCTCTTGAGTAAACAAGGTAGGATAAGCAAAGCTTTTAAGGCGTGAGCTAGCAGTCACAAACCTACGTTC